ATGATGATACTGATGATGATGATGATGATGATGATGATGATGATGATGATGATGATGATGACGGTAATGATGATTCTGACGATGAGAATGATGGTGACGATGGTGATGATGCTGATGAAGGTGAGGATGATATTGATGATGGTGGCGATGTTGATGGTGGTGTTGGTGATGATGATGGTGGTGATGGTGATGCTGATGATGCTGATGATGATGAAGATGGTGGGGCGGAGGAGGAGGAACATAATGAGGGGGAGGATCAGGAGCAGGGGGCGGAGGAGGAGGAAGAGGAGGAAGAGGAGCAGGAGGAGGAGGACGAGGAGGAGGATGCTGCTGATGATGATGCTGCTGATGATGATGCTGATGATGGTACTGATTATGATGATGATGATGCTGATGCTGATGCTGATGATGATGCTGATGCTGATGCTGATGATGATGACTATGATGATTATGATGATTCTGATGATGATGCTGATGATGATGATGATGGTACTGATGCTGATGATGATGCTGATGATGATGTTGATAATGATGATGATGATGATGATGATGATGATGATGATGATGATGATGATGATGATGATGATGATGATGATGATGATGATGAGGATGCTGATGATAATGATGATGATGATGATGATGATGATGATGATGATGATGATGATGATGATGATGATGATGATGATGATGATGATGATGATGATTATGATTATGATGATGATGCTACAGTCGCCGCTTGGATCCGTCTTGGGCCTCTTTTGGGGGATCTATGGGTCCTCTTGGGGCTCTTGTGGAAGGTCTTGGGGCCCTCTTGGGGCCGAAGAGGGGTCCCCGAGGAACCACTGAAGGCCTCGAGGGCCATCTTGGAGGCCATCAAATGGAGGGTCATCGATTTACGTCTCCCCCCTGGGGCCATAACAAATCGCCTCTTGGGGCGCTCTTGAGACGCTGTTGGGCCGATCTTGGGCGCTCTTGGGGCAGTTCTGGTGTCTTTTTTGCCCCCTCGTAGGGGTTCTTTTGGGCCATCTTGGGGCCACCTTCAGGCTTCCAAGTCTCATCGGAAATGAATCGGCGAGAAGGCACCGATCATTGTTTCCCCGCAGGTTTTTGACGCATTGTGGCCTCTTGGGGGATGGGGGTCCTGATGGGGGCTCCGACAGCATTTGGATCCGTCTTGTGGCCTTCGTCGGGCCTTTTGGAGGCACGTCGGAAGCCATATTGGCCCATGTTCGGCATGTCGGAAGCCGTCTTGGGCCCTTTGGCCGATCGCGCCCCCCCCAAAAAAAAACATCAGGGAGGGGAGGCGCAAGGTTCCTCTCCTCGAAGGAAACCGGCTTTTGGGAAGAGGAACGGAAAAACTCACTATACCACCTTGGCCCGCTGGGCTGGTGGGGGAGTACCAGGGCACAAGAAGTTCCAGAATGGAGGACCGAGGTAGAGGATCGAGGACTAACGCTCCCCCACAATGCCCCTTCACAATTACGCACAATGGATACGACTCTCCTCTCTCCCTCTAGTGACGTCTGGGAAATATTCGGCCCCCCTCCGCGTACTGGGTCTTTAGACAGGATTTCCAGGGACACGGGTTTTCGCTAGGTTTGTTCACAATGCTGCTCTCGTTGAAGCGCTGGCTTTATTTTCGGGCTACCGCTCGTTCCGAATCGTGCTCCCGCTGCAGCGTTGGCCTCATTTCCGCGCTTCCGCTCGTTCCGAATCATGCTCCCGCTGCAGCGTTGGCGTCATTATTTCTAGCGCCTTGCTACGGCATGGTTTTCGGTGCTTCTAAATCGGCCCCAGCATCTAAAAAATGAGCCCCCGAAACAAGCATTGGAAGTGATTCCATATTCGGTGCCGATTCGTTGATTTTTTGGGTCGGAGAAGCCCCCCCCTTTTGGGGCGTCGCCACGCCATGCTATGTTAGGCTACGCGTCCTATGAATCGTGTTCCCGCTGCAGCGTTGGCCTCATTTCCGTGCTTTCGCTCGTTCCGAATCGTGTTCCCGCTGCAGCGCCAGCTTCATTATTTCCAGCGCAATACCACGGCATGGTTTTCGGTCCTTCGAAATAGGCCCCCAAACTTAGAATATGAACTCCGAAACAACCAACCAGCGGAAGTGATTGCACATTCAGTGCCGATTCGTGGATTATTTGGGTCGCAGAAGCCCCCCCCCCGCTTTGGGGCGTCGCCACGCCATGCTATGTCAGGAAACGTGTTGATCTTCAACACCATGCTATGCCATGTAATGCCATGCCCTGCTGCGACATCCGACTGCGCGAATAGCGAGGATATCTACGCCATGGTAGTGGATGGGAGGGAGGGGTAGGACGTCAGTTATGACGCGAGCGCACCTAGCTTGCCCTCTCCCCTCCTCCCCCTCTTCCCGTTCACAGTTTCCTAATCCCTGGGCTCTCCTCCGTAGCCATTTTGTCTCATGCCTTTCCGTAGGCCCCCTGCTCCTGGACCTTGTCCACCGGCGTATTCCGAGACCCCAGATTCACGGGGCAATTTGGCGGGCGTGAGGGACTTGGGGGAGTGGGGCTTTTGGCTCTCGGGGATAGCGCGGCGGGCGGCCCGACGGCGTGGTGGCCTTCATCGCAGCTGCAGGCTGACATCGACTCCCTGGGCCCGACGGCGGCTCGCCGTGCCGCTCAAAAGTGGCGGCAGGCTGCTGTTGAGGCGGCCATCGGCCGCCGCGCTGGCGCTGGTGGCGTGCTTGGCTAATGGCGCGACCGCGAGCTCGCGTCTAGGCCTGCCCTCCAGTGCGCGGCCAGCGGGCGCCGCGTCCCTGGCAGCTCCAGGCGGTGCCGCAACGCCGCTTGGCACGCTGCGCGGGTGCCGCCTGGAGGCTTCGCCTCGGCGTCCGCCAGCGGCATCGCCTGGGCGGCCGCCAGCCCGCGGCTGGGCTGGGAGGCGGGGCTGCCCTTTGGCCCTGTCCCGGCACGGCGGCATGGGCTTCGGTGCTCGTGCGGGGCAGTCGTCTTCAGCTCGGCGGCGTTCGGCTTCGAGGACGAGGACGGCTTCATGGAGTCGGGCCACCCTGGCAGTCGAGGGCTTCGTGGCGGTATTTTTGGAGATTTTCCTGCTGGGGGTATGGGTGTCCGCAATGCTGCTGCAGTGCCTGCTGCTGTACTCCCTGTTCCGCTGGTGCATCCTCCCGCTGAGGACCCTCGTTTTCTGGCTCGGGCGTTCGGGGCTCACGGTGCGTCGGACGATCGGCCGGTATTGGAGTCTTCGACAGAGGTCCGCCCCAGTGCGCACGGGACGGAGGTGGCGGACATTCGCGGCAAGGACGTCTACGACGGGGACGATGCTGGAGCCCACGGCGCAGGTGGTGTGTCTGCTGATGTGCGCCCTGATCGTCTGGTCGAGCGGCTCTCTGGCGAGCATGCTGGCCGTGTGGTGGGTGTCGGGGTTCACGAGGCGTCGACGGTGCTGCTGGCGGCAGGTGCTCTTCGGGGGGCAGCTCCCAGTGATCGTGGGCACGTTTAAGCAGGCACGAGCGCACGGGTTTCGATGACGAGACCGACGTCTTCGCCTGCTCGCTGTTCGAGGTGGTTTTCATCACGGTGGCCTTCCTCAGCCTGTTCTCGGTCCTCTCGGTCCACTACTGAGGACGGCGCAATTGCGCGTTTTTTCAAACCTCTGGCCGGTGCGCGTGCGGCTGGTCTTTGTCAGGTTAAAAGAATTCTTGGGCTCTCCGCCCGCGTTTCGGGCGTTGCCAGAAAATGTCCCTGGAAGGCAGGGTACCCCCAGGATTTCCACAGAGACCCAGCTGGCATCCAGAGCACCAGACGCTCCAGAACGCAGCGAAGAGGCTGTGGACGAAAACGCACTGTGGAAGAGACTCCGTGTTGTTTCCAGGGCGTTTCTTTCCACACTGTGCCTGCTTTTTCTACCGCGCTCGTTTCCCAAAGTGTTTTTTTTTTTTTTTCCCACGGGCACTGGGCCAGGAGCGCTTTCAGCATCCCCCAACTCTGCTGTGCACCCTCCGACTGGTCTGTCCTGGCGACTCTGCTCGAGCCCCCCACGAGGAGCGACTGACCGCCGTCAGCGATGCCCTTCGATACGCGCGCCACGCGCTCCGGTGTCCGTCTCCTCCTCATCTTCTTCCTCCTCGACGAAGCCCTAGCGCATCGTGAGTCCGACGCGCCGTGCCAAACTCATCGGGGCCATTGTTGGGGCAACCCCAGCAATGGGCCGAAGGCGGGGGGGGGGGTCAAACGCCGCCCCCCCCCGCGTCCGCCAGGAGCTACAGCGGACGCCAACCTTCCGACAAGCCGGAAGAAAAGAAGGAAGAGGAAGACCAAGAGGAGAGAAAGAGAGATGCGCCAACTCACCGACGTGTTGCGCCGCAAACAACACTGACCGCCGAAAGCGGCCAGTCCCCATGCCCCCGTGGCTCTACCGGCGCCACGGGACACTGGCCACCCCCGACGGACTTCGGCGCGGGGCACACGGAGCGGAAAGGCGTATGGGTGACCAGGCCCATCCCCGGAGACCCCTTTGCCTGGGGGGGGAGGTGGGACCACGTCCCAGCCACACCATTGCCCCGCGATGTGACGGGAGGGCCAATACAGTGGCTGGAGCCTCCCCCCACAAAGGCAGGTGCCACGCAGGCCGACGCGGACCGAGATTCCCGCTGGCCCAGGGGGGCGCCCTCGCGGCCCCAGAACGCCAGTTCCCCGAGGGACCTGAGACGGCAGACCCGTGCCACAGCGGGACCGCCGCTAGTTTCTCCTCGTCCTTCTCCTCCTCGTCCTCCTCCTCCTCCTCCTCCTCCTCTTCCTCCTCCTCCTCCTCCTCCTCCTGCTCCTCCTCTTCCTTCTACTCCTTCTCCTGCTCCTCCTCCTCCTGCTCCTCCTCTTTTTCCTCCTCCTCCCTCGAGGCCGACGTCCCCCTCGTGCTCCTCGCCCTCGTGCTCCTCCTAGGCCTACTGCCCCCTCGTTGTCCTGCTCGTCCTCGCCGTCTTGCTCGTCCTTGTCGCCGTGCTCGGCGGCGAGGTTCGCCTCTTCACCAGCGTGCGCGGGGCCGACACGGCGGACCGCGTCGCGGGGGCAGTGGCGGACGTGTCTGAGCGGCTCGAGCTGCAGCGCACGGAGGCACCTGGGCACCGATGGGGGTCTCTCGAGCCACGTAAGGAGACGAGCCAACTACGACACCATTCGCGCGTAAGCTGCCTGCGTAAGGTCGCGCGTAAGCGCCCTCGTCTCCGATGCAGAGTGCCGCGCCGGCGGCCCGCGTAAGTCGCCGTGCAAGGTCGCCGTGCCATCTCGCAGAATACTTGTTTCTCTTCGTAGCTCAAATGGTGCCCAAATCGAAGGTCCAGGCATCTCCTCCGAGCAAGAGAAGGTACTTAATACTGCTCCGCGCCCTTCCTCGTTTTCGCCCTTCTGGGGCTCCTGGGACGCTCCCGTCGCCACCGCTGGACTTGCCTCGCAATTCTGGTCAGAGCGCACCCTCGGAGAGGCTCGGGGACTAGCAGTACTAGTGCCTTTTTCTGTTTCCAGGTCAGGTCGCTCGGACATTGATGTAGGTCTCCCAAATGGGCTCCGATGTTCTCTGGCCTCCTATACGGGATCTGAGCAGATGTGTCGGAGAATCGCGCCGCATCGCCGATGCATCGGCGACGATTTTCTCCACGCGGGCGTGGCATGTGCATCGCCGACGCCGCGAATGTATCGCCGATGTATCGCCTATAAATCTGTATATCGGCGATGCATCGGCGGTGCGGCGCGATCCTCCGACCCCATCTATTCAGACCCCATTTGGGAGGCGCTCGGGCACCGAGGGCCTCTGTCCAGTCTCGCAGGATGTCTTCTTCCCCAGAGTCCGCCCTCTGGTGGCGGCCCTTGTCGGGCCCCAGGGCCGATTAGGGATCCATCCAGGATGGAAGGTGGGCCAGGATGGAGCCGGGAAGGGGCCGGAAGATAGATTTCGAGCGGATTTGGCACGGCGGGGGAGGATGATTCCAGCGTGGACCCCAAGCAGTGAGTTCATGCCATCTACGTTGTGAATTTGAGGGAGACGCTGAGCAATGTAGCAATATAGACGCCATAGTAACGCAATGCACTTGCCATGTCAATGCCGCCCAATCGTTGTACACATGTCATGCGGGCACTCATGGTTCAGCCCATGGCCGCAAGCTGTGGCGGAACTCATGGGCGCAACCGATGGTCTCGGCCAATCGCCGGGCCATCTTAGCCACCCCCTGGCCACAATCTGTGGGTTAGGCGCAACCAATGGTCGGCCATATCCCCGCGGCATCATGCCTAACCCTTGGGCGCAGCCCATAGCACGGCCCACGGGCGCAACCTCTGGCCACGTCAAGTCGTCGAATCCTCAGGCGCAAGAGCTACGGCACATCACATGATCGCAGCCTCTGGCCAAGCCGAAACCCCGAGTCCTCAGGGGCAACCGAATTATGTCTAGGCCTCCGCGATTCAGCCGGAGTAGATTGGGTCGGAGGATTGCGGCGCATCGCCGATGCACCGGCGATGCATCGACAATGCGGCTCGATGTGGAAACCGTGTTTCCCAACGCCGACGGCGCCAATGCGTCGCCGACGTCGCTGATGCATCCCCGATGCATCGGTGGCGCATCGGCGATGCATTGGTGATGCGGCGCGATCCTTGGACCCGATCTACTCGGAACCCATCTGGGAGGGCTAGAATTATGCCGTGACCCCTGGGCACAACCTATATGGCGCATCCCATGGGCAGAACCTGCGGCCACGCCAAGTGCTCCAATCCTCGGGCGCAGCCCATCCTGGGAGGGTCGTGGGGCCTGCCATTCTGAGCTTCGTCTCGCACTTCTTCCCCGGGGGGTACCAGGGAAGGGTGCAGAAGGAGTCGGGGGCGGCAAAGAGGGGGTGATGACTAGGGCCTAGGGGGCTGGATCCTGGCGGGGGCCATGATATCTCCTCAGATTTCATGGCGCCCCTTCTGATTTCAATACGTCCCCAGCCCCCCGCTGGGCCGCGCACACGCCGCCGGCCATGGTTTGCTCCCCACCCTTGTACGCCCCCTTCTTGGCCGCCCCCGCAAGGGGTGGGGCGAATGGACAGATGAGAGAGGCAGAGAGGAGAAGAGGGATTGGCGCGCGCGCGAGACGCGAGGGCGGCGACTCTTTGCCGGGATGGTCGATCTGCTCGACGTGGGTCTGTCGTCTCGCTCACGTCGGTCCCTCGTTTCGGCGTCACGCCAGCTCGTTCCTTTCCCGTCGGGGAGCTGGAACGGGGGGGAGGAGGAGGAGGAGGAGGAGGAGGAGGAGGAGGAGGAGGAGGAGGAACAAGAAGAACAGGAGGATGAGGAGAAGGAGGAGGAGGACATGGACGAGGATGTTGAGGAGTTTTTTTCACTTGCGTCCTCTTCGACTCGGTCCGATCGTCTGCTGGTTCCCATTGTGGAGCCAAGTCTCGAACGTCGCCACCAGAGGGGACGGCGGCTACGCCCCCCGCCGACGCCGCCGACGCCGCCCCCTGACGCCGACGCCGCCGACGCC